GCGAAAAAAGAAGGTATTCAAGGGTGGACCGAACTGGAGAAAAAAGAAAGCATTCTAGAGGAAGGCACTGAAGGGCGAGCCCGTACAAGAAGGAGGATAAAATCAAACAACAATCTGCACTACCTTTGAGGACTGGGCCCAGAAAAGAATGTCCAAATATCACAAAGATAAGTAAAATTTTATGTTACTTTGCAAACTTAAGTTAATCTTTCATTCTTACTGCAAGTGGCAGATTTCAAGAAGAGAGTTTTACCTCATGTGAGGTCTACCTTTATCGCCAAAAAGGGCGAGAAATGAGTTGTTGTTACCGATTTTGGTATTATGTTTTTCAATTACTCGCGCGTAAAACTAAAGTTGATGTATAAAATTAACGGCATGTTAATATGTTCTTATATACAATGTGAACTGTTATTTTAAATGTTAAGAAATACCGTGATATGGTAAAAGTGAAAGTAATATGTTAAAATTTTTTTTTATTCGTGTGACTGTAAAAAGACTAAATCATGGTGAATATGTGTTTAAAAATTGAATGATGTAGTTAGCTCTCTGACGCTACACTTCAGAGTTAGCCACTTTCAGAATAGTACCTCAGGGTTTAGAGTTGAAATTAGGGTTGTGTTACGAGGTCTTGGTATGTTGAATTTTAACACGTTAGTGTTTTGATTGTAGGAGGAAGTGTTGAACACCATAGACATAAACACATTCGTGTTTGGTGTCCTTTTACAACACATGTCAGAGAGCACGGGGAGAGATAACTAAAATAGTTATGAATGAAATAAGAATGTTAAGAGAAATATAATTATACATGTTACTTGCCATTTCATTGTGTAACATTTCATTAAACTAGTTTTCCTTCCAGATCTCTGGAAGGAACCACATTTGAATAAAAGCTCCTGTTTAGATGCAGTACAGATGAAAAAAATTGTGTGTCCTGGGAGCTGCTATTGTAAAAACAAATTTCTTTCTTTTAAATTTCTAGTTTCTAGCGAAAAATGTTTGTAAAAGATTGGCCTCGCGTTAGATTCTAGAGCTAAAAGTTTTCAACAAGGTCGTTTTAGACCTCAGTTTTCAAACTAATTAACTCTGGCGGGAAGTATGTAAGGATCTTAAGTTTTACTAAACGTTTATTTTTATTTTAAATCTTTACTTTACTATCACTTCTTATTTCTACTTCCGGCCAGAATTATAAGCGTTAATGTATTTTATGCAAAGTTTGTCTGGCGAACGCCAAGTATTTAAGTTGTGGCTTTTTTGCCAAGCGAGAGAGAGGAAGCAGTTAGTCGAAGCAGGCCGCTTACCTTAGAAGTTTTACTCAGTTGCTGGTTTGCCTTCCAGGCCAGAGGTTTAATCCTCTTGATAATTTTTAAATGTATTGTAGTGTTCACAGTTCTCTGTACTACATACGGCTTCCTGTTAATATAAGGCCAATCTTCCACGTTTATTATTTTAAAGTTAAATTAGAGTTTAGTTTTATTTTTATATTTTTACGTTAGACCACAAGTAGCGGGTCTGTGTATTCCGAAGTACGGAAGTTATTGTAAATAGAGAAAAATAAAGGGTTTTGTATACCCTTCTTGTGTATCCTGTCTACTTCCCACAGTTTTGAACATAGCTTTAGTAAGCTCTCTGTTCCGAGTCAGGTCCTTGCATGTTTCCGAAGAAGGTAAGACGGAACATTGAACCTGATAATATGTGTATTTTTTATGTATGCATCAAAGAAAAATTTAATAAATAAAAGAAAGATAATATGCTGTCAGCATTTATTTTCAAGTTTTGACCACTTGCACAGTTTTTGTAATTTGTTTATTTTTAGTTTACGTTAAAATTAAGTTATTTAGGAGCTAATTCAACATATTTATGGTTATCTGAAATAGGCATCAGACTAAAAATTTCATATTTAGCTATCAACAGATAGTATGACCAACAGAAATTTCTTGCAGCTGCAAACATTTAGATTTCAGATAAAAAATTAATATAAATTGGAATTCTGTGCTTTGCATTATTACTCTTACTGTTTATGTATATTTTGGAAACATTTAATAAATAAGATTTAATATCTGTTTTGTTTAAAAAAGACTTTTCGTTTTTGTTTAAAAAAAATAAAAATTCAGCTCATCAGCTGCTTTTAGATTGTGCATTCGGCCTGTAAGCCTGTATGCGATTTGAGTTTTGAGATCACTGCTGTATAAAATAAAATTTCAATAATCTGTTATAGTTTAATCTCTAAAATTGGCTATAAAGCATGCTAATTTTTTAATGAAAGGGGGGGGGAAGTCTGAAAATTCAACGCAACAAATTTAACAGCAATTATTTTCATTATAGATAGTAAATGTTTTAATAAAAATACACATTAGTCTTTTCTGACTGATTATGTAAATTTAACTTATTATTGAAGTCATTTAGAATTTTATTTGTTCACATTAGTGCTCCTTTTTTATAGCTAGCTAACATAAACCATGAATCTCTGAAAATTTTCTGTTTTAGGTAAATCTACATATTGTGTTTTATTTCACATTATTTTTTTTTTTTAATGTATGTGTGGTAAAATGAGTAAAAATTTATTTGTATGCAGATTTCTAGATGCTGAATTACAAATTTAAATGCAACTTTTAGCCGTACTAAACATGATAATAACAATCTTTTGTTTTACATTCTGCTAAACAAACAAGCTTGTTAACATTGGTTTGCAAAGAGGGATACATTCCTAAATATAGCACTTGCAGAAACTTTCCTGGCAATAAAAATTGAAAGTAAGGTAAAGATGAGAGGAATTTTCTTTTAGCAGATCTGGTATTTAATTCATTTGTGCGCATGAGGAATATATTTCAGCATTAGGATTCAATTTTAAGAATATCTTATAGCTATGATTTTGCAAATACTATATTTTCTTATTTTTTCTCTCATTTAAGAGCAAAAAAATTACTAAGAGCTTGTTTCATTAGTAGCTGGACCACTACATTTTACACAGAATAAATTTGATGTACTTTTACAAGAGTTCCTTTGTGTATTAAAAACTATAATAATACTGTATTCAATAAATCTTGATTAAATAACATTTACGAGTATATTTTGGTTAGTTATGTGTAAATAATCTAAATTTAAAGTAAAAAAATTAGAAAGGAAAACAGGTAAACAAAACTCGGAAAATCAAAAAAGAATAAAATGCAGTCATATAATCCAGAGAATTTACTTTTGTTCCCAAAGTGTGCAGTTTATCAGAAATCTACAGTAATAGTATGAGAAAAATTATATTAACCACTTGCCCGATTATCGCAGGTTCGTATATATTGCAGTTAATTTTTATTACCGAGAAAACTCAGATGAAGCACAATTTGTCAGTATCGCGTTTTCCCTATTGTCTAGTGTACGTCAGCTTGTGGGTTAGTAATGTATAATGAAGAAAGTTGCATTGAAAAAAATAAAATAATGGGGATGATGCAAGATAGCAAAAGCGATGATTTTTCAGATAGTAATTATAACCTCCAGGCATTTTCCAGACGTTATTCCTGCTACTGAAAAAAAAATCTAGTCCAACAAGACTGTGTTCTCTGTGCTCCCGTAAAAAGAGATTCCTGAGGTAAGCCAGTAAAAAAAGAGACCAGATATCAGTGTCAGGTATCACTTTGTGTTGTACCTTGTTATCATACAACGACTAATATTTAATTTTTTTTTATTTGCCCGAGACAAATCAGGATAGTAAACTAATATTAAAACTAAATACTTTCACACCTGTAAAAAACTAAAAATTCAACTTAAAACCTATATATTTTGTTTTGTTTCGTTTCCTTGTATTTAATAATAAAATAAAAAAATGTGATGATTTTTTTGCAATTTTCTTCAAAAAAATTTGTAAGGGAAGCGGTTAATGACTTGATTACTATAACTGATTGAACTAATTTAAAAGAATAAAAAGTGCAACATTAATTTATATATTAAATGATTTTCATACTTTCACATAGCTCATAAATATATTAATTACTATGTTTTCATAGTTAATATTAGTCACAAAATTTTTATCTACTTTTAACACAGTTATTAAAGTTATTTGCTTACATTTATACCCCTTTTTTTCATTTTTCACCATATTATTAAAGCATATCTTTACAATGTATTGCAAAAAATGCTCACACAATCCTATATTTAAAATACTACATTTTAAAAATTAGAAATACATTTTTATAAAATTTTAATACATTTATTATTTTACTTATTTGAAGTTATTTCTGTTGGGGATATAACTATCTGCAACAACTTACATATAAAGGAAATTTAATTTACTTGCTACTATTCTTAATTACTCTATAAGAATATCAGCAATCATATGAAATTCTGAAAAGCCACTGTTGTGAATTATTTAAAATACATCAAAGTGCCAGTGATTTGTCATTTCAAGTTTAAAACTTCAACTGAGGACTCTAATCAATTTTTCCCATGCCAAGATTACGAGTATTTAACATTGTATTTTTGATACTGTAAAATGTAAATAACCAAAATAAGCTTTAAAGTTTTTAAAGGTATGAAAAATTATTAAAGAAACAAATGTGACATCCATTTAAAGGAATACTCAGTAGCATTTATTAAAAATAATGACATTAAATTTTTTTAACATTATTGTTAAATTTACTGCATTCAAAGGGAAGTAAAAAATATTATAGCCAGTGTCAAATACTTGCTTTCCAGCAAACTGTTTTAAGAAGAGTTGATATACATATTAACCTGAATTAAGCTGACTTGGAGGCGATTGACAGAACAGAAGAGGAACAAGAGTCACTGAAGATGTGACAAAAAAAAAAAAAAAAAAAAAAAAAAAAAAAAAAAAACTGCTGTCTTATGAAATTAATTTGCTTAGAATGAAAGATAAAACTGGAGACAATAATTATTAATTTGGTAGAGAAAGAATTAATGATATGATGTCAATCATTATGCTTAGCAAATCAATATTCAGTGAGCAAATCAAATATTCAGCTTAAGTGAATGTAAATCTGTATTGTTCTACTTACCTGACCTTCTTGAGGTCTTTCAACTCCCAGCAAAGAAAGTAAATCAAGAGGATCTGGCCCGTCATTAATTACAGCCAACTGTCTCATGCTGGAAGCATGCCTCCGTCGATTGCCTTCTAACTTTATATCAATCCTAAAAACAGATATTAAAAATTAAATTTATCTTTAAATATTTAACATATACATAAAAAGTAAATATAGTCTACAGCGTGTTTTAACCCTTTCGCGATGTTTTTTTTTTTTTTTTTTTTTTACAACAGAACAATTTTGATAACATAAACTATGAGTAGGGCACTCTAGAATGCTAAAATTAAGATGCTAAACTTTTGAAAAATTTTGAACACTGATTTAGTAGACCGGGACATATATGTCCCATCAGTCCTGACTGCTGGGACATACGTGTCCCAGTAGTCTTTAGTGAGTAATTTTGTAAAGAAAACCAATGATTTTTCTAGTCATAAAAATTTAATTACGAATAGTATGGTTTGAAACAATCAATGCACAATGAGACATTACACATCGTGCACATTATTTTAGTGCACGATTCCTTTTTTTGTGCACATTTACGGCACAGCCGCGTGTTTTTGTTGTTACTGGCAGATGGTCACCAACATTGAGTAACAACAACAAGTTTTGGCTTCCCTGCTCCGAGAGCTCAATCTCACTGCAGGTCCACTCCCCCTTTGGGCACATCGTGGAAGTTCAACTTCCACTATTACCCTCCAAGAGAGCAGCGCACCACCTGGATATGACACCAGGCAGCACCGGTCGTCTAATGCTCCTACCAGTCGCTTGGGCGAGCCCGTCGCAGCGGGACATTACCCAGCCACCCCGGGGGAGACCCCCGGGTTACTAGAACCACACCGCGCTAGGACGTGCCAGACTCCGAGGCCAGCCAATAAGTGACCTTTCCCAGAGCCTTCAGAACCACCAAGTTCATAAATTTTATACCCCCGTGGCCGAGACTGCCTAGGTTACAGATCCTAGCCAGTAGCTTCGCAGAGTTCTCTACGTCGACCCCCGGGGGGAACACTGAGTAAGCTTCGTGATGTTTTGGATGGGCGTCCAGTTCCTCTACGGCGTTGATACAGTGCGTTGAGCTTTCCGGACGCCATCAAGGCTTCTGCAAGAGGTACAATGAAATCAAGAAGTGGGGTTTTTCTATATTTGAGTTCGCAGTACGCAATCCATGAGTTGACCACTGCACTCATCAATAGGCGAAAAAATACTTTTTTCCACCACTTGCAAGATTTTCGAATCTAATTCATAGACCATTTGCCATTTGCAAGGTCTACATCCTCCCATGATTTTGTTGTAAAATTCGATTGCCACAGGGCACTCAAATTCTTCTTTGCTTCCATCTTTCATGGTGTGATATACTTTTATGTATTTAGCTTCGTGGCAATTACTTAGCATCATCACTTCCTTTGAATCAAGCAACCTCGCCACACATTGCTTCCATTTTTAGTTACGAGAAACTCAGCCTCACCCCTTTTGCTTAGATTTTGTTGCAAAATTAGGAACATCTTTGCGAGTCTTGATGCATGTACCAACAGCAGGAAATTTCAGGGTTTCCATCAGGTGCACACTTGTAAAAAATCGGTCAAACGCAAGCATCACGTATTTACCTCGGATTGTCTCCGTTAGCTTTGATACTACCCGTTCCCCGAGTGTGCCTTGAACATGAATTCACCCGTTTCTTTTCCGGAATAAATGTTTATGTCATATACATATCCTGTTTTTGAATCAGATCGCTGCCAAATTTTTATCCCTATTTTCACAGGTTTCATCGGCATATATTGTTTCAGGGATTAACGTCCCTTGAATTTCGCAGTTGATTCATCAATAGCTTAATATGAGCTTTCGCTGCGGCACTGTTTGAAGGTTTGTTTCAGGCAGGAAACAACCTCGTCAATATAGTATGTTTTACTTGCATTTTCTGGATTTCTGGTGCAGCAAAATATAGTTTCGACAGCAACGTTATACATCTGTCTCTTGAAATAGCATTTTTTATTGCTATGTTTTCCAAAGAATGGATTAGATGACCATAATGAGAGAATTTTGGCACCCTATTGTAAGACATGACAAGCATTCAATCCAAGGACAAGCATAATTTCAGAGGGGTCTGTAGGGTGAATTGGTTTGTCCTAACTTTTCGAGTCATTGGTTTGTGCATTGAGAAATCCAATTCATAAGACTTTTTGGAAATATCTTGAGAAACACGTCCAATTCAGGTAGCTGAACGATTTAAGTTGAATAACAAACTAGGGCGATGACTCTGCTGGAATTGTCATTCGAGGTTGGAAAGTTGAATCTGCATGAAACCATAAGATTGGTTTGCTAGCCTGAAGTATTAGCTGATGGTATCTCATCACTGATGAAAGTGATGCCGTATCAGTATCACTCAAAGCATCGCTTGTTCTTTGTATTTTGGGGAATGGTATCATGATCGATATCCATTTCACACTCGTCTGAATCGAATGAGCACTGCAAATTGTGTGTTAGATCTTGAAAATTGGGATCATCTATTTCATCATCCAAATCAATATCTTCGTCATCTGACTCTCTAAAATTTTTTTTAATTTCTTCATTAGTAAGTCCCCGGCGTCGAGTCATTTTAGATTGAATTAATATATGCCTAAATTAAAAATAATAAGCAACTATTTCAAAAGTAACCGAAAAATATAATATCTAGAGAAATGATCACATAGGACTGTTGGGACAATGTGTTCCCACTATCCACATATGTCCCGATAATAAAAACAGACATAAAATTTTGCCACTTACCAGTTTATTAAAGGTAATCCGCTTCGTGAGTAACTTATCTGGCCTTAGATTTACGGATAAATAAAATTTTAATCGAAAATAGGCGGTATTTTCCAAAACTAAACTATTTACGTTCATAGAGTATGGAATGAGCTGCTACAACACTTCAAAAACGCGGGAATCGCATTACGTATGGTAGTGCCATCTATGTTCTGTGAATGAAAATACCTTCAAAAATATTGGCAGGACTGGTGGGAAAGTCTCCCATTAGACAGAGAAGTGTTTCTATCCCAAGAGTATTTTTTGAAATTTGCTTGGGACGTATGTGTCCCATTAGGCGCGAAAGGGTTAAAAAGAATATACATATTTCGAATGTATATATTTATTAAACTGTATGACATACGAATATGAAACTTTACACACATATGTACGAATCTCTTAAGTTCAGATTACAGATGTTCAATATATCCTCCATCAGCGACACGAACAATATCACATCAATACTCAAATTCATCCTATACTCAGGCAAGCATGTTCGTTGTCACTGATGTTATGACAGTATGGATCCGGCTCTTCACCTCTCCCATGTTCTGTGGAAGTGGTGGTACATAAACGTTGTCTTTAATGAAACCCCACAGGAAGAAGTCACAGGGTGTCAAATCCAGTGATTGTGGAAGCCAGCTGAGACATGCTAAGTCGCCAGCTCCTTGACAACCAATCCAATGGTTCAGTAGAATTTCATTCAGATAATAATGCACTTGGCGATACCAGTGAGTAGGTGGACTTGTTGAAAAATGAAGTTGTCTTCGTGAGCCTCGGAAATGACCAGTTTTGTAATATAGCAAGATACTGCTGACAGTTAACCATGTTTCCGTCAAAGAAGAATGGGCCGTAAACAGATGATCGGGATATCATACAAAACAAATTGATTTTGGGCAAATCTCATACATGTTCAATGGCTACATGTGGGTTCTGTAGGCCCCAAATTCGAATATTGTGTTTGTTTACATGACCAATAACATTCAAAGTCGCTTCATCACTGAACACGATGCGTTGTGCGAAAGTGTTATGATTGTCAATAGCATCAATAATCTCGTTACAAAATGCCACATGTTTGAGTTTGTCATCAGGACGCAGAGCCTGTAACAAATGTAACTTGTACAGCTTCATAACCAACTGACGTCTCAAAACACGCCAAATTGTTGTTGTAGACAGTTGTAATTCCCGACTGGCATGATGAGTTAGTTTTGAAGGACTACATTGGAAAGCAGTTTGAATTCGTGCAACATTTTCGTCGGGAACACGAGGGCGGCCAGGACTCTTTCCTTTACATACACATCCTGTATTTACAAACTGTTAATACCATTTGCAAATGTTCCACCCATTCGAAGGATCACTTTGGTACCTTAACTTGAAACGTCTTTGCACTGTAATCACGGAATTGCACTTCGCAAACTCGAGAACACAAAATTATTTCTGCTGTGGAGTACCATTTTAAACATGTGGTAGCTACCACGCAAAACAGAAGACAACTGACATATAGCGGCTATAAATATAAACTAGACTATGTATTCTTTGCACCAATAGCTGAGCCGAGGCGCAGTGATCGATAGTTTGGACAAAATAACACTTTGTAATATGTATATTCTTTTTGAAACACTCGTTACTTCACTAAATATATTGTACTTATTTTAAATACAAAAAATATTATCAATACTAGTATTAATTTCAAAAATAATTATTAAAACAATCTCATGTAAGAATTATTCCTGAAGTTAAATTTTTCCTAATGACTTCTTTTGTATTAATCACATATTTTGAACTTATTATGAAGCAAATGTAATGATTAGAAGTGTAGCAAATTTATTAACAGGCAAGAAATACATACAAAAGATAGAATAAAAAGCAAAAAATATATTTGTTGCCGATTTAAAAATGACAAGTGTCATGACAATTTTTGCAGTCACCACATTTTTACATAACAAACAGTTTGCAACAAACTTAAAACAAAACTATCTGCAAGAGCTTACATGTAAAGGAATTTTAATTTACTTACAACTATTTTTAATTACTCAATAAGAATATCAGCAAGCATACAAAATTCTGAAAAACCACTGTTAAATTTTATGGTGAAAGCTCATTATTTAAAAACCATCAAAGCACCAGTGATTCCTTATTTCAAGTCTAAAGCTTCATCTGGGGACTCTAATCAGTTTTTCTCTTGCCAAGATTATTTAACATTGTATTTTTGATACTGTAATATGCAATATAAATTACCAAAATAAACTTTTAAAGTTTTCAAAGGCACGAAAAATTACTAAAGAAGCAAATTTGACACCCATTTATACGAATACTCAGTACTTTCAA